TGGCCATGCATATTGTGTTTCAGTCCTTTTGTGTTGATGTTCTAAGCTTCAGTATAGAAGCTGGCAGCCTGATCTCATTCAGAGGTTAAATCTATGCCTTTTCTCCAAATGAGCATATAAAGAACACTTTTCATCGACCGTTCTTGAAAGTTCCCTTCTCCTTTGCACTAAATTGGTTTTGATAATACTGCAGCAGCCTTTCCCGTTACTCTTTGGTCTCTTTCGTGGTGTTTCTGTCCTTTCTAGAAAGTTGTGTGTTTTTAATAATTATTATAATCCCAGAAGGAGTAAAATGACGTAATACTGAATGGAGACATTTTGTATTGTAAAGTACTGTAATTTTGAGAATTTCAAAATAAGTTTCAAAATGAGAAAATCTTTTCCTGTGCAGACGTGATCTCACAAAATGTTTTCCTTGCAGATCCTGGCTCATCCCCAGGACTTGGATGCACTCAGCTCTTGGTATGTCTGGCAAAGGTAGATGGAGGATCTGAGGGTCGGAAGTGATGGCTCGTACTAGCTAAACCCACCATTGCCTTTTGCTTTTAAAAGATTCAGACAGGAGCTTTTCTGACCCCAGAAGGTGAGAGTTGGAGTCTCTGTTTGCTGATGTCCTTCCACCATCTTGAGGCTGGACCTCTCATAGTATCGGTTACACACATACCTTACGGGACAGGCCGTGCTCTGCAGCTGCTCGGCAGGACGCAGGTGGTCTCGGCTGCTCTCTGTGAGCTTTATTTGCACATTCCTCGGCAGCAGCCGGAGGAGCTGCTGTAATTTGGTTCATCCCTGAAAGCACTGCCTGCCTGTTATGTGTCCTCTAGTGAAACACCCCAAGTTCACTGGTTCCCAGAGAACAGGCTCTGTGTCCATTCTCCTGCAGACCCAGCGTTCCTCCTCTTCCTTCATCCACCTGTGTTTCCAGCACATCCAGGTAACGAACCCCTCTGTCTTGGAGTGCCCAATCTGCTGAGGGTCTCTCTGAGTTTGGCTTTAGTCCTTGCCTCTCTACTGCCTCCCCACCCTGCCAAACGATGCCTGTGCTTGGTGTTGTGCTTTCCTGAGCCTCGTGAGTGGAGCAGGCCGTAAGGATGCCAGCGTTGGCACTGCCCTGCTGAGTGCTCCAGAGGTGCGTGCAGCTGCTTGGCCTGAGCCTTGGCTCTCACTCGTGCGATGGTGAGGGTAGATAGCAGGGAGGAGGCAGGCTCCAAGGTGCCCGTGGCCTTGCAGTGGGTGGTGGTAGTCACACACTATGTCCCTCCACTCCTTTGCTGAACCCAAGTGGATCAGTCCGATGCCCTGCTAGATTGAGACCTGTAATTTCTTGAATTCAAAGCACCATGTGCCATTCCTCCTTCTCTCTAGCTGCAAAGCAGGATGCTTTTCCTTACATGTCCCCTGTTCCCTGACCCTAGGCTGGAAGTTGCTGGTGGCATGAGCAGCAGGGGCCAGCGCCCTGTCTCTCCCAGTAGGATTGCTCCAGCCCTGGGGCCTGGTCTGTGTCCTCCTTTGTCACCTGTCCCAGGGTTCCCATGTAACTCGGTGATATCCCAGCACATCTGGCAGCAGCCTCTCTCTGCCCAGCTGTGGGCCCCTGTGGGCTGGTCCGAGCTGGTCTCTGTTCTGAGCATGAAGGTCTCGTTTGATCACGGGATAAATGTCTTCTGCCACAGCCAGGCTGTGCATCTCTGTTCCCCTCCCTCTGCCAGCCTCCATGCCTGTCTCCTCCCTTCTGTCACATACCCATGGGCACCTTCCCTTTTCCCTGTTGTGCAGGGATGACTCAGCCCCTGGTGCTCCTGGAGGCTCGTAGTGCAGAGAGGCCTCTTCAGCCCAGCTGCAGTTACGGTCCCTGCACAGCAGCAGCATCCTGCTTCAAATCAGCTTGTGCAGTGGAGCTCCCATGCGGGCGCTGCCTCCCTCCGCACACCCCTTCCCTTGGCAGTGAGCGCTGCACCGCTGCTCTGTGCCTTGTCCTGGGTACCCCTTCCTTCAGCCCCTCCCCATTAAACCCTGTATCACCAGGACATTCCCAGTGAAGAAAAACTTGGGGGGTTAGTTTAACCTTCCCAGCCCTGGCTGCCTCCCAGGAGCTTGGTCTTGCGACGTATCTAGTTCTGGCAGGTAAGGAAGAATGTGCACTCCCACACCAAGTTCCTCTAGTAAGGACTTAATGGAGCCAGTGTTTCAGTTAGGAAACCCACTGTTGATCCAAATATGCAACTGTGAAAGCCAGAAGTCCCTGGCTGGGGGCAGCTGGGGCCCAGCCCTGTGCTGCTGCGCAGCCATGGCTTCACTCTCAGCTTTGTTGTCTTTATCGTAGTTGCCAATAATTGGAGTTGTTGCATGTGCCCCTGCAAAACCCAATAGCGACTCTTTGAGTCTTCTCCTCCTTCCCAGAGGAGATGTTCAGCTCGTGGACGTGGGAAATCAGTGTCTCTGACCCACCACGTTCCAGTGTCATGGGGAAACGGGCTGTGCAATTATGTAAATAAAAGTGAGACAAACTTTGGGCTGTTGCGTTGTTACTGGAGGAGATGGGAGGGCCTGAAGAGCCCAGGCTGTCTCCCTGATAGCAGGCCCTGTGTGCTGGCTTCCCAGGGCACCGTGGGCAGCTTTTCTGACCTGCCCCCAGGAGAGCTGGCAGAAGGTTTCATATTTGAGCCAAAGCTGGACAAAACCCAGGGCTTTTTGTCATTTATGGGCAGGTTTCTCTTGTCTGCACACACAAACCTCCCTGGTGTGGGCCAAGCAAGGAGGTGATATTTGGGCCAAGGGAGTCCTTTTGGCCTCTCCAGAGGGTGGGCGTGGGGCTGCACGGAGCAATCCCAGTGCTCCCTGTGGTGCAGCCCCGCAGAGGCTCCTGCAGCTGTCCACTGCTCCAGAGAATTGCCTGACCAGAGTCTGCCCCGCTGCCGGCCGGTCCGCCCCAGCCCTTCGCTCCAGGATGCTGGGAGATGCCAGACCTGTCTGCCAGGCCGTGCCTCCGCCATCAGCCTGTGCTCTTGTCCGAGCCCTGGCGAGGCCTTGGGCTGCTGTGTCCGAGGCTGCAGTGTGCGAGAGCCACCGGCGGCTGCAGGGCAGGAGTGGCTGATCCATGCTGCAGGGCCTCGCTGCGCAGCTGGCTCCGAGAGCCATCTGGGGCCAGCATCGCGGGCAGGGGCTGCAGGGTGGTGTGGGGCAGGATGCCTGCCCAGGGCTGGATCTGGCACCTCGGGGCAGAGACCCAGGCACCCATTGGTCCCTTTTCCAAGGTGTGATGAGGAGCCCCGACACCTCCTGCAGTCCTAGCCCTGCCCTTAGCCCCTGTCCATGGGGTGGGCATTAGACCTGTATTGCAAAGCCTGGTTAGAAAGGCTGTGCTGCTTTTAAAGAGGCGGGGTGGAAATTGTTAAGCTGCGTATTAAAAATGCCATTCAAGACACTGCAAAAACAATGTCTGAACATGTTTCCAAGGCCCTGGACAAGGCCTTAGCCTTGGGCAAGACCTTGGATGAGACCCATATTTCCTGGACAAGCTGGCAAATCAAGAGGGCTCTGGGCTTGTTTATATTAAAAGAAAAAAAGTTTTAGAAGAGAGAGCACCATGTTCCTGGGGAGAAGGCTCACCCCAGTCCTTTAAAATAAAACTGTGCTGCAACACAGCAATCTGCCCAGGACGAGGAGAAGAAAAAGCAGCAGCAGCAGCCAGAACAGCGTAAAAGAAACAGAAAGAGGGCTCGCCATTGGAGAAGGAGACACATTTTAACAGGGACGGCTTTCATTCACGGCTGCTCAGAATAACATATCAAATCTGGGCAGGATTTGTATGAAGCATCTCTGACACAGACCAGCATTGAGAAAAACCTGTTTATTGAGGTGCGTCCACTGCCTGTCACTGCAGCCTTTTCCCCTGGGAACAGGGAGGATCACATAGGTCTGATCAACACCCTGCTTTACCTTTGCTGCCAGGCCAGGCCCCACCTTAATGCTGATGGGACCATGGGCTTTGTGAGTTACCCGCTGGCCTCCATGTCCAGCCACTGACCGATGAGGCAGCACATCGACTGCTGTCCCCACACCTTCGCTTGGTCGCAGCCGTAACGTGCCGTCGACGCGGGTTCTGGGTATGGGACCAAAAACTCCTGGCTCAGATTGTCTCCCTGACACATGCCCCTTAGAGGACCCATATTAGTCTAGCCTTGCTTTTCAAGGGCCTCTGTGTTACTGAAGACTTCCTACCTGCAGTGGCACCAGAATGCAGAGACACTTCTTGCACAAGAAGAGAGCCGAATTTAAACTCCCGTGAGTCTTCATGGGGCAATCCTACATGAAATTGTTATATTTCTCACCAAAATGCTGCAATTATGCAACTCAGGTACCAGACCTTTGATTTTTTTTTTTTTTTTTTTTTTTTTTTGGCACAGCAAAAAGGAACCTTTTCTCACCCTCCAAAACACAAAATTCCAGTGAAGAGGATCCAGGGCACCAATCTGTTGAGAAACCCAGCTTTCCCCCGGTCTCACCCTGCCTGCGTCAGGGTGACTAAGCTGGCTTTCAGAAAGCAATTTCCTTTTCCTGGTTGAGGTAGGTGTTCCTCACCACACAGGACAAGTCCTTTGGGCTGTTTCCCATGACAAGGAGGGTGCTCTGTGCTTCAAAGAGGCCCCTCACATTTCAGGATTGGTTTTGGGGCTCCGCAGGTATGTGCTGATGGCTGGGATCTCTCCACAGGACCTGGGACTCCAGGTACCAGCCAGCTGGTTGGCACACAGCTCAGATGCCTCCTTGGCTATTCTCCACAGAGATGTGAGGACCAGACCCCGTGGCTAGAATGTCATTAAAAGAAAAACTGGGCTAAGCTATGCATGTTTTCAACATCTGAGATTTACTCTCGGATTCCAGAAACCACAGCAATGAGGAATTGCAATTATTTTGCACAGGGCAAAAGAATAAGCTTTTCCATCTTATTCCAAGCCAGTATCAAACTAAGAGATAGTCTTTATATTTCAGGATCACATGTGCTTCTCAGTTTCTTGTCTTAAACAGAGAAGAACAATAGGTGAGAGGGAAAAAAAAAACCCACCCTTGAAATAGGGCACAATCTCCAGCTGCAGTGTTACCTACCACCTCCTATAATCCTACAGAAAGAGAACAGAAATGCCCCAAACTGCTCATTTCTGGGGTGCTTCTGCCCGGGACTCTCTTGGGTAAAAAACCCAAACCAAACAAGCAGAGGTGTCCTGGGTGGCACCAAATAGACTCTCTTCCTAAAAGTCACAAGCAGCTTCACTGCCAGAAGCGGCCCCTGCCATCCGATATGTTGATACTTCATTTTTAAGAGTTTTCCCTCCTAAAGTAGGCAGACACAGACTACAAACCTGTCACCTTCAGTTCCAGCTGGGCATCTTCATTTCTGATGCCACTTCAAACCAAGCAGGTGAAATCCCTCCTCAGAGGGTCAGACGGCAGAAGGTCTCGAATCTGCACAGCCCTGGCCGATGCGGCGCCTCAGCAGCTCTGTGCTGCCTCGGCACCCTGGCTTCTGCTCCCTAATCCCAATCCTTCCCCTTGCAGTAGCCACACACAAGTGACGAGTGTGGCATCCGGAGCCAGGTCACCTCCGAGCACCAAGCACTCATCCCCAGGGAAAGGCAGCAGGGCAGCCTCCCTCCGTCAGTGAGGACCAGGGGGATCAGATCCCAGCACTGCAAACTCGGCGGGGGAATGGGAACGGAGGGGACTAAGAGGAGAAGAGAGAAATGTTTAATTAGAAGCAAACCTCCAAAGCGGTTGGAGGCAGGTGCATGCAATGTCTTTTCGCAGATGCAAACTGTGAGCTATGAGGAGGTACAGGAGGAGATGTTAGAGAGTGCAGGGCTGGACCCAGACCCTAGCAAGGAGGCGCTGGCCGTTATGGATTCAGGAGGGGCCTGCAGTGAAGTTCCTCACTGAGGGAGCCTGTGCCACCTCCTGCAGCATCTCAGCAGGGTTTTGCTCCTTTGTGGTTGCCCAGGGACATAACCGGGCTCTGGCCTCCACACCGTTATGGATTAATACAAAGCGCTCAATCTCTGACACGGAAAATATTTGCTTGGAGTGACACTGGGAGGATTTTGCTCATGTGCCTGCCCTGCCTTTAATAGAGAGGTGATAAACCCTTTCAGTGAAGGGCTTTTGGCTCAGTAATTCACTCACCTGCCTGGTCTGCTGGGAGACCAGTGCGTACGGACAAATGGTCCATGCATCCGGGTGGCAGGGGAACGAGCAGATTAAAGAGGCAAAGAAATCTGTTTAAATGTCTTTAAATCCCTACAAAAAGGCCGTCAATGACATGCATGCTGATTCACGCAAATACTCTCAGCACTTCTGATAGTTAAATGCATCCAACCAGCTGCCTGAGCTCAAAATAAATGGGGTGGGGGGTGGAACAACACACCCAAAAGCAATAATCCTGGGGTTAACCTGGGCTGAGAACCATCACTCCCCAGGACCGTGAATCACTGCATTGGGTGGAAAGTGGAGCACGAAGGGAAACGTTGCTGAAAGATGCGGCTGATCTGAAATGAGCTGCAAGCATCGTCGTGGAGAGTCCTACCTGCCTCCTGCTTCTGAACATGAAGCATTATGAAGTACATAATGAGGCAATAGAAAAATGAAAGAAACTTCATCTTTGCAACTGTATGACCTACAAAGGAGGAAAAGGCAAGGAGGGAAAAAACCAAACCATTGTGGGCAATGTAGGAGGAACAGGAAAAAAGGGAGCTGGTCTGTAGAAAAGGGGTTTGAAGAGTGTTAGCTGGGTGACCGATGGAGGAAAATCCTGCTAAGGACAGCAGGGCTCCTTCTGGGTTAAAGTCAACCAGATCTAAACACCAGACCCCCCTTTAATTTAAATAAGGGCAGGATGGAAGGACAGTTGTGGGGGGATGTGCTTCCTCTGGCCGTGCTGTGCCACCCGGGGTCCCCCAGCTGGGGGTGTCCCAGAGCCACCCGGGGGACCTGCAGCTGCCTGGGGGTCCCAGACTCCTCAAGGGTCCCGCCGCTGACCAGGTCTCGTCCCGGCAGCCGCACTCGCTCCGTTCCCGATACCGAAAGCGAAACAGCCCGAGCGCCTCGCCTCTCCACAGCACCCGCCGCGCCCCGGCCATGGCGGCAGCCGAGGAGCTCCGGGAGGAAGCGATTTGCTCCATTTGCCTGGATTTCTTCTGCGCTCCGGTGATGCTGGACTGCGGGCACAACTTCTGCCGAGCCTGCATCTCCCTGTGCTGGGCCCGGGCCGCCACCCCCTCCTGCCCCCAGTGCCGGGAGACCTTCCCCGGCCGCGGCCTCCGGCCCAACCGGCCGCTGGGCAACATCGCGGAGAGGCTGAAGCAGCTGGACCAACCCGGGGGGGACGAGGTGAGGCTGCCGGGAGGCCTCCGTGCACCTTTCTAGGCCATTTCTTCACGTTGCTGAGGGAAGGCTGCCTTCGCCACGCTAATGACCTCTTTTACCGAGGCGCTTTGTCATGACGTGCGAGGGCTGGGGGTTACGCTGCGTGCAGTCCCTGTGCTGCGTAGCTTTTTACATCTGTCTGCTCACGGCTTTCTAAGGCATTCTTTGCAAATGCGATTTTTTTATATACCTGTTGGGAAGCTTTCCAGTCTGTGGTTTGCAAAAGCCCACGCTCTCTGCAAGGAGTCAATGCTGTAACTGCACCCTCTATGCTTTCTTTTGTTTGTTTTTTTAACCAATGTCTTCCTGTTGCTGCAGTTTCCCTTTTCCATGCTTTGTGGCTTGACATAACATTTATCAAGTTTTCATAAGGGTAAGGGGAGTCTGTCCTTAGTACCGTCTTGTGCAGTTTACATATATGACGTTATAATTTCCTGCTCTGGTGGCCCCTCCAGTGTCCCTCGGTGTGTTGCTGTCTGCCAGACCAAGGTGGTGATAGTGACTGTTATCAGTCTTTAATATTATTTTGATTTTTGGCATCTGACTCCATAGGGATTCTATCCAGGCAGGTGGGTTGTGGTTCCGCTCCAGCTGCCACTGCTGAGCTCCTCACTCGCATCACTTGCACCAGTCCCTCCAGGAGCTGGTTTTGGGGACGCACACCCTCCCAGACACAGTGGCTGGCATCCAGGACCCCCTCCTGCTCCAGCAGCTGCACTGAGACCCCACTGACTCCAGGAGCTGAGAGCACAGCCCTGGGGTGCCTGCACCCCACATCTGACTGCAGTAGCTGCCACCAAATCCACTTGCGCTGGTCCCCCCAGTAACTAGCACTTCGCCCGTGCGGCACTCGCACCCATGGGATACAGAGAGATCATGCAAAAAGATAGTTAAGAAAGGATTTAGTGAGAAGGTAGGACAGACTGTGGTGATCAGGTGCGGGGCGGGGTCAGGCAAGCGCACTGACCAGCTCCGTTTTACCCATGACCAGTCCCTTTTATACCCCTATCTGCCTATTCCTCCTTGGTTCCTCCCCAGTACCCTTCCCCTGCATGTTCCCTCGCTGCTTTTCACAGTCACACCGGCCCCTGCGAGCACCCTGGACCCACAGGGCCAGAGGCTGACTCTGTGCCAGAGGCTGCTTACGTCCAACCCAGGGAACAGACTATTTTATGGACACAAGGCGTACGTGTGGGTGGTGAGGAGCTCCTAAAGGATGTCTCTTCTTCCAGGAGCAAATCCAGTTGCAACTGGAGAGCCTCAGGAGAGAGAAAGGAGAACTGGAGAAACGGGAAAGGAAGGAGCAATGGATCTGCCAGGACTATCTGGTAGGTGCATGGTGCTACCGGGAAGAAGTTCGTTTGGGGAGGGTGAAGAAAGGTTGATTCTTGGCCTTTGGAGTTGGGAGATTGAATTGTTGTGTCCAGCTGTTGGTGCACAATAAGCACCCTCGGAATCACAGTCACGCTCCACACCAGAAAGTAAAAGCTGTGGATGCTTTTAATTGCTGCCTGTCCCCTTCCGTGGTCCCACCCTCCCTTGAGAGGATTGTTTCTGCTTGTAAAGGAAAAAGTGAAGGCGGAGAGGCAGAAGATTGTGCCTGAATTTAAGCAGCTGCGACAGTACCTGGAGGAACAAGAGTGCCTGCTGCTGGCTCGGCTGGGAGAGCTGGAGAAGCAGATTAAAACAAGATTGAAAGAAAATGCTGCTAAATTCTCCAAGAAGATTATTTATCTGGATGGCCTGATCAAGGAGAAGGAGTGTCGGCTGTCAGGACACGAGTCCCTGCAGGTGAGGTCTGCTGAAACACCAGCGCTGTCTTGGCAAACAGCATGTGAGGCACCAGCAAATCAGAAACACGTGATGGGCTAATCTTACCTTAATTATCTTACTTATTAATCTTACCTTGCTGGTGTGTCCGTTCACTGTGTAAGGGGAATGTGAGGAATGTGTGTGCAGGATAAGTAACACTGAGCTGCTTCTCTTCTCTCATCTAGGACGCTGGTGACGTTTTGAGCAGGTATGTATTGCTTTCTCCTTTACATCACACTGCTACTTTAGGGTTGCAAAGATTCCTGCCCCAGAACAAAGCTGGATACCTCAAATACCAGGGGTACCCCATTGATGTTTATATTTCAGTTTTCCAGAGGCTGATGAACTAGTATGAGTCTACCAAGAAAGTCTATACCTGGGGAAATATTTGAGGAGGACATTTCATTTCTAAGGTCTCTGGTTGGTTTCTCCATGACTGATGCATAGTGACACTAAGGCATAGAGACCAGGGCATAGTGCCCTTGGCTCAGGGCTTCAGCACTTGGCTGTGATGCAAGTTTGCTCTGAAGGGACAGAGTGACTGGGGGCACCAGGACCATCACTTGTAATAGAAATTTAAATGGCAATTAGAGCATCAGGACAGAGTAGTGACCTTGCCAATCAGACCTGCTGTCTCTACTCTCGTTGATGCTCTTATGTAAATAAAAAAAAAAAAAAAAAAAAAAGGAGTGGACTTTCTGGGGGGTATTGATTCAGCTGGAAAGTGGCCTCTAGCAGCTGGCACTAACAGGAGACTGAGTTAAAGGAGGAATATAAATGCTGTGGCTTGTACAACTCCAGGTGTGAGAGGGCAAAACTCCAGCAAAAGGAGCAGATGAGTCACGAGCTGAAGAAGGGGCCCATCAGCTGCTCAGAAACAGCTCCCACGCTAGAGGAGGTGGCAAGAAAACCCCGAGGTACAAAGAAGGGATCTCAGAGGAGAACAGAGAAGCATCCCGGGGGGTGGGAAGAAGAGGGTAGTCAATGCCCTGCAGAAGGGATAAAAAGCTGAAAATCCTTGTGTAACATGCCCTGCCCTGGGGACACACTGGAGAGGTGTCCCAGCTAAAGTGGGAGGGTGTTCCCTTTCCTTCCCTCTCCCACCACCCCTGGTTCTCTCTTGATCTCCCTTGGCTTTTATTTTTCTCCAAAAGAATAGTCAACATTAGTGTTGATTCACATCATCAGCTGGTGGAGCCCACTAATAAATTCCTGCGCATGTGAACCTGTTTCAACACCCTTTGTGCAACACCTGACTTGGATGCTGCCACAGCTCTTTCTGCTCTAGATCTGTGCTCCAGACCTGCTCCGTGGTTGGAAGTGGGTCAGGAATGTGAACAAGTCCCAGATGTCCCAATATGCCCAAATGATTCTCCGCTCATGCTTTCCTAATGAGGAGGCTCATCCCCAAAGAAGTGATTGAGATGACTGTCAGGCAGAGTCTGGCATCGTGCAGAATAACTGAGGCTGAAAAAGACCTCTGGAGGTCATCTAGTCCAAACCTCTGTTCAAAGCAGGTACCACTAGGTGGGATTCCTCAGTGTTTTCTCCAGTTGAGTTCTGAATATCTCTGAAGACAAAGATCCTACAACTCCTCAAACCATCTTGGTGACCCTCTAGACGTGCTGCAGTATGTCCGTGTCCATCTCATGTTAGGTAGCCCCAGAGTCTTTTTTGCTCCTGCTGCTTTAGGTTTCTTCCTTCCTGCTTCAACTGGAGAAGCCGGCAGGCACAGCAAGCAGCGTGTGCACTGGGGAAGGAAGGGTGCAGTATCTCTGCCCACCACCTCCCTGCTGGTCTCCACAAACCACCTCCCAGTGTTGGCGGTGTTATCCGGACGTCAGAGGTGACCTCCGGGCTCCATCTCTCTTTCAGATGCTTTGACAACTGACACAGGGGAGGGGATGGAGGAATCACAGGGACCATACTCAAAAGGTGAGTTCTGCTAGGGAGCCTCCTCCAATTAACCCTGGTTGCAAGGGATGCAACACATGTTTTGGGGGACAGTGAATCTTCACATGCCTTGGCTCAGGGCACAGAGCTGATCCCCATTTTGAGCTAGGCACCTTCTGGAAGAAAAGTATTGCCAGGCTTCCTCCCAAGCCAGGACCAAACATGGACCCAGCATGGTGAAACTGTTCCCAGGACTGGTCTCTACCCCTTGTTCTTTGACCTGCCTTCTCTCTTGTAGTGAATGTGACTCTGGATCCAGACACAGCTCAGTCCCGGCTCGTCTTGTCAGAAGATCAGAGAAGTGTGATGCAGGGAGCCACACAGCAGAGCTGGCTTGACAACCCACAGCGATTTGATCCGTGGCCTTGTGTGCTGGGCTGCGAGGGATTCAACTCAGGGCGACGATGCTGGGAGGTGGAGGTGGGCTGTGGGTCATGCTGGGCTGTGGGGGTGGCCCTGGAGTCCGTGAAGAGGAAGGGACCGATTGACATGAGCCCTGTGGGGGGCATCTGGGCGGTGGGGCGATATAAGGAGAAGTTCCAGGCTCTCACTTCCCCATCTCCCACCCCTGTCCTCCACAGCACAGTCCCCCGGAGGGTGCGGGTCTGTCTGGACCATGCAGGGGGGCGGGTGATGTTTGTTAACGTGGACAGCGAGGCTGTGATTTTCACTTTCCCGCAAGCCATGTTTGTGGGGGAGCGAATCCACCCCTGGTTCTGGGTGGGTAAGGGGTCCCAGCTCAAACTGTGTCCTGAGACCTGAGGAGGTGTGTCGCTCCAAGGAGGCTCTGCTGTGGCCACCCTGCCCTCCTGCATCCCCATCTGGCTAGTCCTTGGGGACTCCCATCTGCTTAGAGATCTTCTGCCATCTCCATCTACAAACCTTCTGCTGTGAGCCTCAGAGGCTGTTGGAGTCCTGTCTGCCTGCCCGCGGAGAGTAGGAATTGCCTTGCTGGGAGCAGAGATCTGTGGGCTTCCCCAACCTTGGCCCTACCACAGTGGGAGAGGCTTAGAACAGGGCTCTGGGTGAAGAATGGCCGTTTCTGGGGACACACTTTATTTACAGGAGCCATGAGGGGGATTGAGGGGCATAGCAGTGGCATTGGAGTGCCTAGTGATGGTATATTTTTACTTGAGGAAATAGGCAGATGGGCAAGGAGGATGAAACCTTGCTCAGCAGCCCACCTGGCCACGGGGTGATGCTCTGTAGCCCCGAAGCCTGGGCAGCCTCCATGTATTAGTTGCTGTGGTTGGCCTGATTTGATTCTTGTGTTAACTCAAGAAAACACAAGTAAATATTCATCTTTTTGGGAGGTGCTAGTAGGATTTACTTCTTCAAATAGTTTTGTGGGTGGAATTATAATCACTGCTTTTTAACAAATCAGTGTACCCGATAGTTCTTCAATGTTTGACTATTCAATTTGTTTCTCTGGTTGTGATGAGGCTCTTGGAAAGAAAATTTAGAGGTTTAGATCTTCTCCAGCCAAAGAACTAATACCATGAATTTGCTGAAGTTTAGGAAGAGGCTGTAGGAATTGCTGGTTTGAGACTTGCTGTTTTGTAGAACTGCCAGGATTTGTGGCATTGCATGGTAGAAGTGAAAAATATGAATAACCAAAGTTATATAAACAATCAAAGTTCAAATGCTGGTCAAACAAATGTGAAACTAAACCCCATCACACAAGACCTTGCTGACAGATAAGAAAGGCTTCAAACACGTTGGCTCCATCTACTTCTGTTGAAAAAGCTGACCTGTGAAAGGGAGGTTGGGGGCTGGAGTGGAGGGGAGGGATTCCGGTGAAGAGAAGCAATGCTACAACACAAACTCTGCCTAGGATGCTTAATACAACCTCTGGAAAGGGGGACTGTGAAAAAGCATCTGTGAAAGTCATAGCTTGCTCAAGGGTGAAGCCCACCCCTTGTCCTTGCTCTGTGGCCAGAAGCCCATGGTGACCTGCTGGGTTTGGCTGTGGTGCTGCTGCAGGGTTTGATTCCAGCTCTTCCCAGACATGAACCCAGCTGCCTTTGTGCTCTGGCTGTGGGATCTCGCCTTCCTCCCAGTGTGCTCGTGGAAATGCAGAGCCATGGCCCCGGCAAGGGTAAGCTCTCCCTCCTCCTGCGTGGGCACAACGTCAGCTTTGGCACCAGGAGCTGAGGACATGCTGGCAGCAAGGTGTGGGCAGCCACTTGGAGACCTTGTCCATTCCTACCAGGATTTGCCCTCTTCTGTGGTCTGTCAGGAGCATGAGTTTTGGGATTGACTCCTTGGATGGTCCCCTGGATTGCTTTGCTGGATTGCTGGTCCCACAGATGTGCAGAGCCCAGGTGCAACAGGATGTCACCTGTCCCTGTACAGTGCCAGAGAGGTTGGTGAGCCCATCCCCTAGTGCCAGGGCAGGATATCTGAGCCTGACCTGGTGCTGCATCTCTTTCCAGCTACTGGAGTAGACCAGGGAGACTAGTGCTGTTGCCTGTGCCCAGCTGCCACCACAAAGGTTACAACTGAGTTAGAATCATAGAATAGAATCATTAAGGTTGGAAAAGACCTCTAAGATCATCGAGTCCAACCATCAACCCAACCCCACCATGCCCACTAAACCATGTCCCTAAGCGCCTCATCTACACGTCTTTTAAATACTTCCAGGGATGGTGACTCAACCCCTTCCCTGGGCAGCCTCTTCCAATGTTTAACCACTCTTTCAGTAAAGACATTTTTCCTCACATCCAATCTAAACCTCCCCTGGCGCAACTTGAGGCCATTTCCTCTCGTCCTGTCGCTTGTTACTTGGGAGAAGAGACCGACCCCCACCTCGCTACAACCTCCTTTCAGGGAGTTGTAGAGAGCGATGAGGTCTCCCCTCAGCCTCCTTTTCTCCAGACCAAACAACCCCAGTTCCCTCAGCCGCTCCTCATCAGACTTGTTCTCCAGACCCCTCACCAGCCTCGTTGCCCTTCTCTGGACACGCTCCAGCACCTCAACGTCCTTCTTGTAGTGAGGGGCCCAAAACTGAACACAGTATTCGAGGTGCGGCCTCACCAGGGCCGAGTACAGGGGCACGATCACTCCCCTACTCCTGCTGGCCACACTATTTCTGATACAGGCCAGGATGCCATTGGCCTTCTTGGCCGCCTGGGCACACTGCCGGCTCATGTTCAGCCGGCTGTCAACCAGCACCCCCAGGTCCTTTTCCGCCGGGCAGCTTTCCAGCCACTCTTCCCCAAGCCTGTAGCGCTGCATGGGGTTGTTGCGGCCAAAGTGCAGGACCCGGCACTTGATCTTGTTGAACCTCATACAATTGGCCTCGGCCCATCAATCCAGCCTGCCCAGGTCCCTCTGCAGAGCCTTCCTACCCTCCAGCAGATCAGCACTCCCGCCCAACTTGGTGTCGTCTGCAAACTGCCTGAGGGCGCACTCGATCCCCTCATCCAGATCATTGATAAAGATATTGAACAAGACTAGCCCCAAAACTGAGCCCTGGGGAACACCACTCGTGACCGGCCGCCAACTGGATTTACCTCCATTCACCACAACTCTCTGGGCCCGGCCGTCCAGCCAGTTTTTGACCCAGCACAGAGTACACCTGTCTAAGCCGTGAGCCGCCAGCTTCTCCAGGAGAATGCTGTGGGAGACGGTGTCAAAGGCCTTGCTGAAGTCCAGGTAGACCACATCCACAGCCTTTCCCTCGTCCACTAGGCGGGTCACCTGGTCATAGAAGGAGATCAGGTTGGTCAAGCAGGACCTGCCTCTCATGAACCCGTGCTGGCTGGGCCAGATCCCCTGGTTGTCCCGCTCGTGCCTTGTGAGCGCCCTCAAGATGATCTGCTCCATAATCTTCCCCGGCACCGAGGTCAGGCTGACAGGCCTGTAGTTCCCCGGATCCTCCTTCCGGCCCTTCTTGTAGATGGGCGTCACATTGGCAAGCCTCCAGTCGTCCAGGACCCCCCCTGCTAAACAGGACTGCTGATAAATGATGGAGAGTGGCTTGGTGAGCTCCTCCACCAGCTCCCTCAGCACTCTCGGGTGGATCCCATCCAGCCCCATAGACTTGTGAGCCTCCAGGTGGCGTAGCAGGTCATTGACTGCTTCCTCTTGGATTATGGGGGGTTCATCCTGCTCGCCGTCCCTGTCTTCCAGCTCGGGGGGCCGAGTACCCTGAGGATAACTGGTCTGCCTGTTAAAGACTGAGGCAAAGGCGGCATTGAGTACCTCGGCCTTTTCCTCATCCTCGGTGACAATGTTCCCCCCCGCATCCAATAAAGGATGGAGATTCTCCTTGTCTCTCTTCTTGTCATTAATATATTTGTAAAAACATTTTTTGTTGTCTTTAACGACAGCGGCCAGATTGCGTTCTAGCTGGGCTTTTGCCTTTCTCATTTCTTCTCTGCACGACCTAACGAGATCCCTGTACTCTTCTTGAGTCGCCTGCCCCTTCTTCCACAAGCGGTAAACTCTCCTTTTTTTCCTGAGTCCCAGCAAGACCTCCCCGTTCAGCCAGGCCGGTCGTCTTCCCCGCCCGTTCTTCTTACGGCGTACAGGGCCAGCCTGCTCCTGCGCCTTTAAGACTTCCTTCTTGAAGATCGTCCACCCTTCCTGGACCCCTTTGCCCTTCAGGACTGTCTCCCAGTTGGCACTAAGAGGGTCCAACCAGCAATGTGGCTGGAGAAAATGAAAGCTAGGCTGGAACCAGGCAATGTTCCCCTTTGCCTACATTCATCTTTTCTTCTCCTAAGAACAGGAGTTAGCAGGAGAGGACAAAGCAAGGTCCCTGGGAGTGGGGACCCCCCCACCTTTTCCAAGTCTAGCATGTGCTTTGAACGTCATTTCCACAAAATGCCAGTTGTCTGGAGCAGATCTACAGCTGGAAGGCATGTCCTCTGAGGAGCCGCTGAGCACTCTGGGTTGGTCTCGTTTGGAGAAAAGGAGGCTGAGGGGCGACCTCGTTGCTCTCTGCAGCTTCCTGAGGAGGGGACGTGGAGAGGGAGGTGCTGATCTCTTCCTGGGATCCAGGGACAGGATTCATGGGAACGGTTCAAAGCTGTGACAGGGGAGGTTCAGACTTGACATTACCAAGAGGGTGTTCAAACACTGGAACAGGCTTCCTCGAGAGGTGGTTGATGCCCCATGCCTCTCAGTGTTTGAGAGGTGTTTGGACAATGCCCTTATTAACAAGCTTTAAATTTTGGTCAGCCCTGAAGTGGTCAGGCAGCTGGACTAGCTGATCATTGTAGGTCCCTTCCAACTGAACTAGTCTAGTCTAGTCTATTCTTTGTGAGGAAAAGGAGTCCTTGATGGGGGGAGATCAGAGACGGCAGATCTGTGGGAATTGGCTTGCCTGTGGACTTCAGACACTTCTCAATTTCTTGCTTGCCTTCCTTGGCTGTCCCTATAACTTTTACTAGTGCTCTGCTGTAAGAAATTTGCTTAATGCACATGTCAGTGAGAACTGGAAATAAGGCAAGGAGAGGCTTTGGATGTATGGAGAAGATAAGTGTTATCATGAGGTCCAGCATCCAGCTATGTTTGTTTGTTTTGTTTTTTTTTTTAACTTAATCATTAAGCTTAATTGAAAAAAGCCAGAGACACTACTCCAGCACCTTTTAAGGAGTTTGAACGTGCTGTATTTTTCAGGGCCTTGTACAGAGCAGCTCTGCAGGGCCCGGGCACTCAGCGCCACTTCTCTGCCCTGGGGCCACCTGGCACCAGGCTCCTTCATGCACCGAATCTCTGTGCTCCCTGTTGTCTCTGCAGTCCCAGCTGTGGGGTGGAGGGGATGAAGGAGGCTCTGAAGGAGGCTCATCCTTCTCCAAGACCTGCCAGTCCTCCCGCTTGGTGGCCAGAGGAACCATGGGAGGAGAAGCCGGCAGGACGCAGGACCCTCCCAGAGCCCAGCACCAAGACCCAAGATGATGGTGTTTGCCTTTCCAGTTTCCCCCCTGCCACCCACGCTGCCTCTCTGTCAGGGGCACAGCTTGAGCCACGAGTCCATCCCCACCCAGAGCCATGGGCGTAGCCTCTCCCCGGGACATGAAGCCAGGCAGAAAGCAAAGATCGGGGCTTTGTTTTCAGCATCAGCAAATGCCACATGCCTGTCTGTAAAGTCCAGGCAGACCTGGATGGCCCTGGGGAGGCAGGCAAGGCGCAGGGGGGTCCAGTCAGGGTCGGTGAAAGCGTGGTATTGTCCAAACCACTGCCCCACAGCCCAGATCCCCTCCTGGGGGGTAAAACTGAGGACCCCCTTCCTCCTGACAGACTCCTGAGCCACCCCCACAGCCCACCAGTCCCCCCCGTCAGCCACCTCCACCTCCCAGCAGTGCCTCCCTGTGGCAAAGCCCTGGCTGCCCAGCACACACGGCTCTGTGTCGAACCGCTCGGGGTTGTTGGGCAGCGAGGTCCACTCATCCCCCCGTCCCACGCCTCTCTGGTCGCCAGCCAAGATGAGGAAGGGGTTGGCGGTGTCTGGGTCCAGGGTCACGTCAGCTGGGGACAGAGGAGGAGAAGCTGCTCAGAACAGGCAGCCCCAGGGGTGCGTCAGGGCTGCATCCACCCCAGCAAGAGAAGGGACAGGGTGATTTCCTTTCCCCTGCCCAGAGATGTCCAGTGTGGGGTGGGAAACCCCCTCGTGCTGGACTGCCCCAGCCTTAATCCTGCCCTGATCCTGATCCAGGAGCTTCCATGCGATCCCTGGCCAAGGAGACCCCAGTTTCCTGGAGGAGGATGCACCTGAGTGGATGGGTGCACCTCTGCTGTGCAGACACCTGGACCTGAGCCTGCGTGTCTCTAGTGCTGCAAGAGTGAAACAGGCACATCTGGGCACAAACCAGTGCAATAGATGTTACCCCAAGACCCCAGATTCCTGTTTCTTTCTGTGGGCAATGGAGGGAGCCAAGCATGGCAGCTCAGGTGTATTTGATGTTGGTGGTGGTTCTACAGCATGAGGAATTCAACCTAGGCTGGGACAAGTCCCAAGTGCTTTGACCCTAAATAGCTCTTCCACAGCAGAAGCAGGATGCATTTTTCTCCTCAACAGAGGACGGTTCCTCCTCCTCTTCCCTTCTGAAAACTCACCTCTTCCACTCATCTCCTCCACCTCATTGGCCAGGGTCTCCCTCTCTTCTCTCTCCATCCTGGATACCAGCACGTTCGCAGAAAATCAGCAGGAGGGGAGGCAGGATTCCCTGTTGAAAGTGGAAATTGCGAGACAGACACTGCCTAAAGTAATGATAAAGAAGCAGAAGGAATGATGGAAAAGTCACAGCATTCAGGCACTTTTTAGACAGCCAGCACTCACCTGCAGGCTGACTCCAGGAAAGGAGGTTTTGGATGGGTCTGAAGGTCTTCAGTCTGCTTTCCACTCCCCTGACCTCCTCATCAGCTCATGGCTGGACTGGGCTTGCACAGCATTTCCAGCTTGTTTAAGTGAGCAGATCAAAGTCCAGAGGGGCTGGATGGCCTGGAGAGCACAGCTGGGAGTCCGGCACCTTCGCCTCTCTGTGGGGGATCACACCACTGGAGCTTCCATCTCCCCTCCTCTTGGTGACTGCCTCCCACGCCCTGAAGCTGCCAGTGGGCGTGTGACCTCATCTAACACTTGAATTTGGGAGTTCCCTGGTGACGTTCCTGCAGTGCCCTGGTCCTGTTTGCATCACAGGATCTGCTGCATCTCCCCTCCCTTGGGCCAGCTGCGGGTGGGTGATAAGAGCTTGCTGCACCGCTGGAAGAGGCTGTATCTTCCTGCGGCAGGATGCTCAGAGCCCTCTTAGGTCAACAGCACCACGTGCAGCTCCAGCCCGGTGGGATGTCACTTGGGGACACCAGCCACAGACCAGTGGCCATGCTATAGGTGTCCAGGCTGCGTACTGTGATAAGGGAAGAGGTCTGGCTTCTTAAAGGCACTGCTTGCCCAGATTTGTCATGCTGCCAATAGGTTTCAGGGTGGAGATGTTTGCAGGGCATGTGTTGCTTTGATTGCTCAACTGGTAAATGGGGACAGCAGGTGCTGGGCTTTGCATCCCACCTCTCTGTTCTCCAGGCAGCTTTTCATGTGCCCAGATGCGATGGCCTCACCCCTGCTCGTAGGGAAGTTGGGAGGTGGCACCCACTCTGCTTTGTCACATCACTCTGAAAGCCACCAGTCGTGCACAAAATAAAGCAGAGTGCAAGGGGACCTGCTGCCAGATGGCTCTGCTGCCTGGCGCTGGGACAGGGGCCCGGGAAGGCAAGACTGGGAACAGACTGGCTTGGCAGGGACTATTCATTCAGGGACTGCTGTCGCATGGTGGCATGGGCATGGCACGGTGGGGGGGCTGCTGCTGAACCTCCCATCTGCAGGGTCAACCAGTGACAAAGTTAACCGTACACCCCCACCCCCCCAGCCCCCCCAGGTCGCAGCCTGTTGCAGGCAAGGGGCTGCCTTCAACAGCACCCACCTGCAGGACCCACATCACCCACCAGCACAGGGAGCTGCGTCCCCTCCTCCTGCGGGGCTGGCAGAGGCAGGAGGTCACTAGTGCAGGCACACATGCAACGCTCTCTGGGTTCATGTGCACATTTGCAGATCCTCAAGCAGTGGCACGGTCCCTCTGTCCGCCTGGTACCCCTGCCCGGACCCTGGGCCCTCTGACACCCCCTCTTTCCCAGGTCCCCTACTCACTGGCTGGTCCAGCTTGATGCTCACTGCAAACACGCAGCACCCGGAGACTCCGACTCACCAGCCAGCCAAGCGCACTGACTGGCTCTGTTTTACCCACGACTGGGCCCTTTTATACCCCTTTCTGCCTGTCCCCCACCTTGTCCTCCCAGATTCCCTTCTGCTGCACATGCCTTTAGCTGTTCACATACTTCCACTGACACCCCCCTGTACCTGCGACCCCCAGCTTTGCATCCTTACAGTCACAAAAGCCAGGCTGGCCCTCCCTGAAGTGATGCCTGCAGATTTGTGATAGCCCAGCGATTAGCATGAGTGATGAGGTTGGTTTATTATACGTATCTCTGCTATCATTTGTTGGCCAGGTCTGTATCTCTGTACACTTCATTTATCGCCTCCCTCTTTTCCTTGTCATCCCTTTTGGCAAGGTCCCTGATCAGGTCCCTTTACCAGAGCAGATGCTCTCACCTCCTGTGTGCCCCCGTGCTCCTGGCTGGGGACTGGAGGGTGCCAGACCCGGCTGGGCTGAGCACCCGGTGGGGCTGCCTTCGTGACACATCCCAGGGCAGCAGCTTTCCCTGAACAAACCATCCTTGATGGCCTTGCCTCTTGGCTGGGGGGGGAATTGCTTTTAAGCAATTTTTAAGCTAGTGCAGGGCTTTGCTCCCAACTCTGTGCTGCCTCTGGGTGTGAATCACGGCTCCGACACCTCCCTCCTTCCCACTGCTGCCTCCGGGATCTTCCCAGGGGAACGTGCAAACCGCTGCTGGTATCTATCCTCTCCAAAGTCCGGGGAGAGCCGTGGGAGGAGGCTGCGATACGCAGCTGTGGAGGGTGTCTGCAGCAGGAACGTGCCTGTGGACGTTGCCAGAAGAGCATTTCCAGAGCAAAAGCATTGCTAAAAAAAGGCCAAATCACTCAGCAATTTTCATTTTTGAGCGGAGGCAGCGCAAGAGGAAACGGGTGGCAGGCTGGGACACAGAGTGACGTTTTTCTTTCGTTTTCAGACAGGGAAATGCTCAGCTCGGATTGGGCTGACCGCTCTGGATGCACCGGGTGACAGCTGAGCAGCTCCTGCCCCAGCCCAGAGCCCATGAAAAAGCTCGGGGCCTCCAGGTATGTGGCGATTTCACGCTTTCTGCCATCTGCCAGAATTGGTCATGGTTTTCAGCTCTCCTTAACAAAGCCGGGACTAAGTCAGCGAGTGATGAGAGGGTTCGGGGGGGTTCAGAGCAGGGCCAGGTCCCATCTTGGCTGGGTGTTGAATTAGTGTTGTGGTTATTTTGCTTTCCCTGGTCTGAGACCTCCTCCCATCCTCAGTGTGGTGGCAGGGGATGCACTACCAACTCAGTCCCAAATTTGTCCTGGAGGAGGAGCGTGCGGCCCCAGCTCCACGTGCATTCAGTCTGGGTTTCTCCTCATCCTGCGCCTTTCCATCTCTTAGGGCTGGATAAGAAAAGCAAGGGCTCCATATTAAAACAACTGCCACTTTTTCGTGGAATTAGAGGAGATGTTGCAGCTTGTCCTTTGTTTCACCATGAGAAATTCCTACAAGGTTTTATACCAGTCAGGTACTTTGTATGTAAAGCACCAAGCAAAGTCAGGCTGATGATGGAAAATTGATTTCAACCTTTGGCATCTGAGGCTCTTCCCTAGACATTATAAAAAGGGGCTGCAATCAGCAATAATCCCCTTTAAAAGTGAATTCTGCTTTTTTTTTTTATTCCCTTGTTTCTCCTCCCTTTTGCCCTTTCCCTCTCCTTCCCTGTCTCCAGGTTGTGCAGCAGTGAAGAGAATGCTCTCCAGCTTCCACCTCCGCTGCCCTCTGCCAGCTTTTATCATTTATGGTTTGGTTTTCCAGGTTCATGAGCTGCAGTCAGGTAGGGATCCCCCTGGTTCTTGCTGATCCCTGTGGCATTGCTTCCAGCCTGCGTGCGTATCTTCCCGGCTGCCAGTGCAGCTACTCCCCATGAATGGCAGAGCACAGAGCAGGGTCAGGCCCTTTGCCATAAACCTTGTCCATTTCTGAGGGCGCCAGCACCCCTCTGGATCCTGGTTTATTCCTCTGGCCATGTCAGCACAGGCATTTGCACAACCTCGCTGAACTCAGGTGGAGATTAGATGATGCCGATGAGTTGATTATAGTTTGCTGCCATTTCCCTCCCTGCTTTCCCTGTTCCCAGCACGTTCCCAGCACGTTCCCAGCACGTTATCACTTTACTGGACTGTGTCCAGGGTACGCTGGATCCTTTGCAGAACCAATTCAATAAAGGGAAAAAACAACAAAAAAAATCTTTTAAAAAATATTCTGGGCTCTTTTTCTGTTAGATTGCTGACCTGCAGCAGCTTCTTCAAGGCAGCTCTGGCAAAAGGATGCAGCACAACAGTTGACTTGAAAGTTACCTTGCCAAAAAAAGTTGATTTGCTTTTGTTCTCCTTCAACCAGAAACCACTTTCTCTGTGAGTTGAGTGGCCAGCTTATTAATAAGCCTTTTTTTTTAAATTTTCAAAGATGCCCAGAGCACCTGAGACATTTTTATTTTCTCTTGTAATAGGTATGAATAGCTGAGGATATTTGAGTTTTATTTGTACCCAAGTTGTCTGCTTTCTCCAGCCAACCACCCAGAAACCTTCCAGCCGCTTCCTTCCTTCTTGATCCTGCTTTCTCCCCACCCTGAGCAGCATGGGCAGCACTTGTCCCCTTGAGAACAAATCATCTTTTAGAGATTTGAAGAACTTTCACGGTAGCGCAGGACAGGGAAGCAGAGGAACAGGCAGTGGCCTGACCCCAGCCCACTCACCATGCTGCATGGCAGGGGTCCCTCTCCCAACCCTCCCCTCAATGCCTCGTCTCCCCTGGCGCGGTTACGCTCCCAGTGTGATGGCATGGCACGGCAGCACACGAACCACGCAGAGCAGCATCCGCTGGTTTTCCGAGCTCAGTTACCACAGCAAACTCAGTTATTTCTTCTTCCTCTGGGGGTTTCTCCCAGCTCCGCTCAACGTGACAGGACCCCCCGGCCCCATCACTGCGCCCATGGGCGAGGACGTGGTGTTGCCCTGCCGCTTCTCCCCGGAGCAGAGCACACGGGACACGGAGGTGATCTGGTTTCGGGAACACTTCTCTCCCTTTGTGCATCGTTACAAGGGGGGCCAGGACCAGTACAGGGAGCAGATGCTTCAATACCAAGGGCGCACCAAGCTGCTGAAGGACGGCCTCACCAAGGGCAGCGTGGACTTGAAAATTTTCCATGTCCAACTGTCTGACAGAGGGAATTACACCTGCTTTGTTCGCCGTGACTCAGATTATGATGAAGCTGTGGTGGAGCTGAAGGTGACAGGTCTGTAGTCCGTGTCCCTGGTACCTCTAATTTACTTGCTCATAGCCAGCGCTCTTCTTCCCTGTCCTTCTTCCCAGCAGCAATTTCAGGTGGTTGCTTTGGAAATAGGGTTTTATTAATTCCTGTGGTTGAAAATACCAAGAATGTCTCAGAGAGGTAAAATTGCCTACTGAGCAGCCGTAAGGAGCTCATGAGATATGCTACTTACTTCAGAAGTGTTCTTGATATTGTTTTCTCCATATACACGGGTGTAAGAAAAAATTTGGCATTGGGTTATATAGTAAGAATGTCTTGGTTCATGCTTTTATATTTTAATATCCAGGCCTGCAGATTATTTTGCTGCAGTTGTAGCCTCCGGAGCAGATCTTTGAGTTATGTGAAAAAGACTGCAAGAAATGTCCTGACTCCAGGTGACACTAGTCTTAAAAAAAAAGCCCTGGGATTTGTCTATGTTGAAATTCACCCCTTCGTGTCAGGGAGAGGAACAGCCAGTTCCCCCAATATCCGGCATCCCACAGGATCACGGGGGGGGTCTCTGTTTTCCCGCAGCCAGCGGCTCTGCCCCGCTCATCGCGCTGGAGCGCTACCAGGACGGGGGGATCCAGGTGGCCTGCCGCTCGGCCGGCTGGTACCCGCAGCCCCAGGTGCTGTGGCAAGATCCCCGCGGGCAGCATCTCCCATTCCTCTCGGAAAGTGTTACCCAGGACAAGAGCGGCCTCTTTGCAGCAGAAAGCAGCATAATCCTCACCAAGGGCATGAACCAGAAACTCTCCTGCTTGGTCCGACATGCCCTGCACAGCCACGAACAGGGATCATCTTTGTACATATCAGGTGAGCAGAGGACGAGGGCATTGCCCTGTTAACATTCCTGACGGAGCTGTGCTTGGAAAGCGCCGCCGGCAGAAAATCTCAGGTGCATTTTGCAGTCTGTGTTCAGTGCATCGAGTGTATTTTGCACACGCAGTGTGCAAACGGCTGCGGTTTTTGGCAGCGTTTGTGCAGGTGTGCTGCCAAAATTCACCAGTTCTGTCTTGAAGTGCCGGTTTAGGGGGGAAAAAAGACAACCCTCACTGTAGCAGAGTTTCTATAGACACCTGGGTTAAATACAAACATTCATAACACAGGAACCAAACAAAAAAGGAGAAACCAACCCGTGCCCTTAGTCTCACCTGCTGTGAAATCCTGTTCTTCTGGCTTGGCATGAGAAATAAATCATCATGTCTTGTTTTAGCATCTGCATACATTGAATTTTTTTTTCCCTTGTCACACGGAAAAGCTCCTTTTTTACTGGAAGATTGATTTGAGGCAGGGAATATATCTGAACAGAGATGCAATGGTACTGGACTAACCATACACCAAACAGCACCGTAGTACCACATGCTTTTCAGCTGCATCCTGTTCCTTTTTTACTTTGGGAATGAAGAATTTTGGGAGACACTGTTTCCCTGGGGGACCCATACCTTTCTCCTGGTGATACTGCTCTGCACTGGAGTGTTGCTCTTGATGCATGTGTTACCCTGTTTCTGATCCTATGTTGCCTAATGAAGTATAATATTTTTTTTTTCCGAAGGAGAAGAAAGCATGATTTAGCTAGAAATAATTTGGTTAGAAATCCATTTTCCCTTTAAAAATCCCCCACAATGTATGCAGGCAAAACGTCATCAGCCTCAGACAAGTGCTAAATTGCCAAAATGGATTTTTTTTTTTTTAATACTATTTTTTATTGGTTTGTGGAGTACAGTCAGGAGCTGATTTTCACCCTTGATGGGATTCAGACCTGCTTGGGATGAGCTTGTATGAAATAGAAATAACCTACTTCCCATTGCTGCTTGTAGAGGAACCTAAGCCCTTTGGGGATTTTATTTTTCAGACCCCTTTTTCCAAAACGCCCATCCTTGGATGACCGCCCTGGCCGTGGTCCTGGTTGCTGTGGTCGCTCTCCTTATTATCGCTGTTTATCTGTTTAAAATTAAAGGTATCATCCTGGCGCGGTGTTTGGGGAAGGGCCTGGGCGGCTGTCCTATTCAGCCACCTCTGGTTTTGACGGATGAGTGGGTTTGAAAAACGCCGGGATGGTCCCGGAGTCTTGTTTCGGTGTCTCGGACACCCATACAGTGCCAGAGAACTTAAAGACCCAGGGACTTAATTTCTGGCAAGAAAAGAAAGGTTGTTTCTCCAACAAAAAGGCTAGCAAAGAAGGAAGGCATTAAAGCAGCGTGAGCCAGCCGTTCCTCTGCCCCAGCCAAGGGTGGCTTCTGCCCGCAGAAATGGAGCAATAATTTGCCTGGCCCTGCCAAAAAAAAACCCCTGGCACTTCTGGGGGCCTGGCAGGGCTTTCTTTCCTTCTGAAAGACCCCTCTGGGGGTGAATAATACAGAGGAATAAGGGAAACTGAAATCCTCTATTTTTTACCAAAAGGAGATGGAGCCGGTGGGTCGTGCAGGCACTGCAGCACTTCCAGACCCCGCGGCCTTTCTGCCTTGCAAGTGGCTGTAACTCCTGCTGTGGTTTAATCAGTGCTCTTTGGAAGGGATGATATTAAAATTATTTACATTTCTTTCTTTCCTTCATAGGAAAGCAGGAGAAAAAAATAGGTAAGCTTTACTTTACATTTTCCAGAAACTGGAGAATTCCCTCAAATGGAAGAATTCATGGGGCACATTTCTGGGGGACGTGGGGGAAGGAAATGGTTTGGCTAGCGGCTATAGAAAATTGTGAAATTAATTTATGAAATGATGAAATTATGAAATGATGTTGTAATTTTAAGGAAAATCATTGCAGAACCAAAGAAAGTGTGAACAGATGTTGTAACAACAGTGAACTTTGCTTTTCAAATGGCTCTCAAGGTTCTTCCCAAAGCTGGGGGAAGCTTTGGGGTAGCACACTTCATTTTGCAGGGGCCTCAGCTTCGTCTCAGCACTAAAAAAATCACAGGGGCAGGATGGTTAGGTAGCACTGAAGGTGAAATTTACCCCCACGCTCCTCCCTTGTCGATACAAACCTGCCCCTTCACCGCTGCCCTCGAGCTGGAGCCCTTGCTCAGGTCTCCAGCAACGCAGCGCTGGCCTCTGCCCAAGGTGGGTTCGGGGAGGGTGGGCAAGATCTCCAAAAGTCTTGAGAAGAAAGGTCTTGAGGAGCTCCTGGGCTGAAGCTTTTCCACTGTGAGCAATTTCAGCCTCCTCCCCATCCCAACAAGTGTATTGGAATAAAAGGAACCAGCTTTGGTGCTGATGCTCTGTTCTGGTTTTGCTTTTCAGCTATGCAAGAGGCAGCACTGCGTAAGTCTCGCTCCCCTTCTTCCCGGTGAAATCCTCTGTGAAAACTTTCAGACTCTTTTATTCATCCTCTCATTATGTCTGAATGTTCTTTTTAGGCAGATACTTTACTTCCCCCTCCCCTGACCCCCTGATAACGTGAAAATTCCCTCTGAAAAGTCATTAGGACTTGTCCCGTGAGTGGCTGTCAATGCTTTTTAACATTCTCATTGTAATTTAAGTAGTGAAATAGTATTGAAAAATTATTGGGTTTTTAGGGGAAGATTATGGAAACCTAAGCTGTTGAGAATTTTCTTGTAAAATTGTAGATTGTTTGATTACCAAGAAATTAAAAAAAAACAAAAACACTTGAAGAGGGCATATATGTTTGTTTGCTTGCTTGCTTGCTTGCTTGCTTGCTTGCTTGCTTGCTTGCTTGCTTGCTTGCTTGCTTGCTTGCTTGCTTGCTTGCTTGCTTGCTTGCTTGCTTGCTTGCTTGCTTGCTTGCTTGCTTGCTTGCTTGCTTGCTTGCTTGCTTGCTTGCTTGCTTGCTTGCTTGCTTGCTTGCTTGCTTGCTTGCAGCTCATAGAATTGCCAAGAAATAGTCCTTTGGCTATTAAAAATGAGTTCTTGCTAAATTGGTGCCAATGCAGGGGGAAATAAATGATGGAGAAAACAAATACAAGTCAGATCACTCAGGAATCGTGAGCATCCTTGCAATCAGAATATAAATCAGCACATCTGCCCCCCTCACCTGTGTGGTCCTTTAGCCGGGGTCCCAGGGAAGGGACTGTCTCAAATAGTAACTCGTGTGTGTTTCTGTTTGTTGTTCAGGGGACCGTGATGCAGAAATTGGTGAGTCTCCTTCTCTTCCTTACAAAGGATTTTTTACAGAGTCTGTATAGGGTGGTGCAGTTTTTTTTCATTTTCACTTTTAAAGTGTGAAGTGAACCAAAAAGTGGTTGGGGGATAGAGGGGGAAAGGAGAGAGTGAATTTGAGAATCAAAAAAATTAAAGATCATTGAAGATGGTGTTGGGGATGGATGACTGCAGTGGTGGCACAGGCAGGGTGAGAGTGCCCTGCGACAGGCCCCCTTGTAGGCAAGGGACCTCCCAGAGACATTTTCCTGCCCCAGATTTGAGCAGGACAACCTGCACCATCACCTGCAGAGCAGAGCTCCAGGCTGGGGCTGGGAGAGGGCTTTGCATTGCCAAGCGTTGGCAGAAACCCGCCCACCTGCATGTGCAGGCGGTTATGGGAGAGGTTATATCCAAATCATTATCCCACAATCCGTTTGTGTTGATTTATCTTCTTTTTCAGAGAAGCAAGCTGAAGAACTTGGTGAGCATCATTCTTCTTCCTACATGGGAGACTTTTCAGTTGGGCCATTTTCTCTTCTGGGTTTTGCACATATGCCCTGGTTTTGGTTTTCCTTTTGGGAAAGGAAGAGGTAGCAAGTACCGAACTCATTTCAGAAACGTTATTTTCCTTTGCTCTCTATGTGTTTTTAAACTATTCTCTGTAATCCTTCTATACTAAAAAGAAAATTCTTTCAGTTTTCAAAGAAAGTACAAGCAGACCATAAATATGTCTGAATCGGGACAGGCAGCGTGATTATATTTGTAGAAAATGGATGGAGCCCTTTCATGTAGCTAGACATTGACGTTTTGAAGCTACATGCTGTGAGATAACTTTCACAAATATAGCAACAATTCAGAAAATGTGCAGCTACACTGGTAAATCATTATCCTGAGCTAATCCAGTACAAGTGCGTTCAGATTACCTCTCATCTGTGGTTTGTATTTGTTTTTTTTTTTTAAAGCATGGAGAAGATACACAGTGCCTATAGAAGAAGGTAATTAAAGTTTGGTCTTTCGGGGTGCTGAATCATCTTCCCTGCTTTAATCTCCCTTCCTGGTAGTTCTTCTACTGCAGTGATGCTGGTGGGACCAGGGATGCTTCTGCCAACCCCCACTTTACAGGAGGAAGTGTAACACTCAGACCCCTTGTTCGTTTGGTGCACGCCCCAGTTTCAGGCAAATCTGGAGAGTCCTGGTCCCCAGCAAGCAGTGCTGGCCACATTTTAGAGACATGGACTTCTTCAGCCTGGAGGTCTGCTGACGATCCTCTTCCCTCTCTGCTTGATGTCATCTCTCTGCTTCATTTTCTGTTCCTTGCACTAATATTGTTACCTTGTGCAGCTTCCCATGCCACAGTCTGCCAGCTATCGCTTGCACCCTTTTTCTTCTTCCTTATGCAGCCCCAGTGAAGATCTCTCCTGGGGTGAGCTCTGCCCTGATGTGTTGACTCCATCTCTCCTGCAGTGAAGGTGGTTCTGGATCCAGACACAGCCCACTGTGACCTTGTCCTATCTGATGACTGCAAAAGTGTGAAACGAGAAGACACACGGCAGGACATCCCCGACATCCCTGAGAGATTTAACCCATGGCGCTGCGTGCTGGGCTGTGAAGGCTTCACCTCGGGGAGACACTACTGGGAGGTGGAGGCAATGGATGGAGGAGGATGGACTGTGGGGGTCTCTAGAGAAGATGTGAAAAGGAAGGGCGAGATTGAGTTTAAACCGGAGGAGGGCATCTGGGCAGTGGGGCAGTGGGCAGGGCACTTCCAAGCTCTCACATCCCCTAATCGCACTCTCCTTCCTGAAATCCGGACTCCCAAGCGGATCCGGGTCTCTCTGGATTATGAAGAGGGACGGGTATCATTTTTCAGTGTTGATGAGGAGATTCCCATCTTCACATTTCCACCGGCATCATTTGAGGGGATAAGAGTCCACCCTTGGGTCTGGTTGGGTCCTGGGACGTGGCTCAAAATGTGGCCCTGATGAAGGGGAGGGAGTAAGAGAAGGCTTTTTTAGGGGACCTCAGGAGTTCAGACTCACAGAACGATTTAGGTTGGAAGGAACTTGTGGAGGTTTCTGTTGCAACCACCTGTTCAGAGCAGGGCTAACCTCAAAGCTGCCTTAGGTGTCTTTGGACCTTGTCCAGCTGAATTGTGTAGGAACTCCAAGGGTGGAGATCTCTTTACTTCTCTGGACCTCTGTCCCAGTGCTGCACCTCTCTCAAGGGGAAGAATTAACCCTTTAAGTTTGGTCAAGTTTCCCCAGTTGCAACTTGTGACTGCTGCCTTTCATCCTTGCTCTCTACCTGTTGAACAACGCTTCCACTGAAAAGACGCTCCTGCAACAGGGATCGCTTTTTAAATGTACAGAATAAAGTTACTTCAGTGGGATTTGTCAGTATGTGTGTCAGCACCAACTGTCTGTGTCTGAGGCATTGTCTCCACCTCCTTTTAGCCTGTGGGGTGTTGCAGGCACTTTTGAGAAAATGGTTCACCACATCCTCCAGAAGATAATGAAGGCATGTCAGTGGGATCGGTCCATGGCTGTGCTTGTCCCTGCGCCTGCCTGCAGCACAAGCCCAGGCGATGAGCTCACCTGTGACCTGGAGACATCTAACACCGCGAGATGGATCCCACCTTTGGTCGCTCATTCTGGGGGAGGAAAAGCTGCTTTTGCTTACAGTGCTGAGGAGCCTGGAGCAGGCTCAGAATGTCCCCTGTGGGCTGAAATGAAGCTGGAGAAACCAAAAATTCGTATGAAGAAGGGCATCTCATATTGAGGCATGTTTTCAGGCAACTCCAGATTATTTTGCTGTAGTGGAAACTGCCACCTACAAGGGGAGGATAGAAGTATGTGCTTCCTCTGAGGCCAGACATGCATTTGCACCAGATCCTCCATTCAACTGATGTCCAGCAAGCATGGACCTTCCCAAGGGAAGGCTTCACCATTACTGCTGAATTCATGGGCTTCTCAGAAGTGAAACAGGATGCACTTGCATATGTGCCAGGGTAGGTATGTTCATGCTCAGCCCAGGGCAGCTCCATCCTCCCACCATGGAGGAGCGTGAAGGAAACAGCTCAGAGATGCTATTAGGGCTTTCACCTTTCTCTCCAGGCCTGCCCAGCCCCCAGGAGTAATGTTCCCAGAGGTTGGTGGTCATGTCTCAGCTTTGTTCCTTGCCATGCACAAGCCCACACGATGCAGCAGATGCCAAGTCAGCTGTGAGGCCTGCAGTAGCTGAGGGGCTTGTTGAAGGACCCAGTGACAGAGCGCTGCAAAGCCCCCTGTGAACAGTGTCACAAGTCTACGGGACAGGCAGCATGAGGGTGGCCCCTGCTGCCAGGGCTCTGAAGAATGGTTAGATGTTCATGTCCCTAAAGAAGGCTGGTGGGAAGGTGAAGATGCAGACCCTGCTTTCTGAACTGGAGAAGGACCACTGTGCCCCTCAAGCCAGGGGCGATGCAGTTGCATGTTTCTATGACCCTCGGGCACCATCGCCTCATGATCTCCTTTCTATTTCTCAGAGTCACATATGGTGTTGGTGAGGTGCTAAAGGAAGTAGGAAACAGCCTGGATCACCTTGTTCCCTCCAAACACCCACTTGAAACAGTCTGCGGGTGAAATCAAGATTGGGGCAACAACCTCATGGGAGATCGACCCCCAGGGTGTGGGAACAGGCTCTAGAGCAGGGGAGGAAGCTGATGGGCTGGACAAAAAGGTGAACCTAGGACAGAAATGAAAGAGTGGACTGCAAATGTGGGGCAAAAGCATCATCGCTAGCAGAATGGCTAACGTAACCCTCATCTCCCTCTTGCCTTCACCTGAGGGAAACAGGTTCAGCAAGGAGACACCGTCCCTGCTCCTTTGTGCTCCCCACCTGGATGTCAGGATCCCAGGATCCATCCTGGCCTCCTCACTGCTCGTAACCAGCCGTAGGAAGAGTGTGCCTGCAGATGACTCCTAACCTGTGCACCCCTTTCCTCCGGTACAGCATGCCCCTTCCCCTTCAGCAAGGCTTGTCACAGTGGACTGCTTAGGTCTTCTGCTCCTTATCCTTCAGGGAGTGAAGCAGGTGGGGTGAAGGACCTTTTGAAGGTTCAAGTGTCCTAGTGCATTCATCGACCTGGAAAAGGGAGACAGAGAGGCAGAAGCAATGATAAGGGCTGTGGGTTGGGAACATGGGACCATGACATGGAAGACCGACTGGTGGTGTCATGGGGGATGCTATAGGTCCAGGGTAAGGGTAAGAGTAGGGCTGTGGAGGAGGGAAAACCACATGCAGGCTTAATCCCTGGGATCCTATGAGAAGGCCAGGGTTACATGTGCTCTCTCTCCCTTCCTATCCCCTGCTTTCTGTTGGAAATCGCTGATGCAGAGCCAAAAAACAGCCCCCAAGTTCTGCCTCTGCTGCTGCCTCCAGCCCTCTTACTACAAGCTGAACTAAAATGCCCCTGCAGCGAGTGGGCGGGGGGTAAGAGAGAGGCTGGGAGATGACACAGGAGGGACAGCTGACCCCAATGGACCAGAGGGATATTCCATGCCATGTGGAGTCATGCTCAGCAATAAAATGGGGGGCGGAGGAGGGCATGGGGCAGAGTTCCAAGGTACCATTGCTTGAGGACTGGTTGGACATCGATCTGGTGGGAGGTGGTGAGTGAATGCTTTTGCATCATTTTTTTCTCTCTCTCTTTCCTTCACTTATTAAACTATCTTTATCTTGACCTACAAAGTTTTTTTTCTCACTTTTGCTTTTCTAGTTCTCTCCCCCATCTCACTATAGAGGCAGTGGGCGAGCGGCTGGTGGGTGCTTAGCTGCTGGCAGGGGTTGACCCACCACAATCCACAGAATGGAAAATCAGTAGAAAACCAATATCTCCCCTCCTCTGTAGCATCTCCCCTTGCAGCTTTTGGGTGACCCTCCAGCCCCGCAGTCCAAGATGCTCTGCAGTGACCTATGAGCCAGGGAAGTGGCGACAGCTCGGCTGCAGAAACAGACAGCAGGAGGAATTGCAAAACCGAGCTCCTTCCTCTGCCTCTAATCTCCTTGCCTGGTCTGTGCTGCAGCTTCTCCCACAAATGTTAAAGCTGCCTCTCAGCTCTCCAGAAGAGCCATCCCCGTTTTTCCTGGCAAGCCAGAAAGAAAGGATCCCTCGTTTACACCACAAACAACTAGCTGAGGTAATGTGCAGGAACTGTTTCTCACTGGTATGCCAACTAGGCTGCAGTTCCCAGGTTGAGGTGCCTCAAGGATAGAAGCCCAGAGCGTGCTGAGAAAGAGCTGCCTTGAAGCAGAGGAAGGGGCAGACATTTCTGAGAAAGAGCTGCCTTGAAGCAGAGGAACCGTGCAAGGGACCGTGCAAGGGACCCGTTTCCTGGGATGTAAAAAGGTGTGGCTTGGGGGGCAGGGGGGCATGCAAGGGCTCCTCCTGGGTGCAGCCCTCCCTCCTTTACTGTGAAGTAAGAAATTATGGAGCCAGTCTCTGGTTGAGACTTTTCCAAGGAGACAGTGGTGTGGCAGCGCAGTTAAAGCGAGGGCTGTGCTGAAGGACAGGAGATGATGGGTTTGGCTGCTCAGGAAGCCGCAGCTCCCTTCCCACAGCTGTGCGTGCTGATAGAGGGCCTGGGCAGCCCTGCCGCTAGCACTGCCGCCAGAGCAGTGCCCAGTCCTCGGACAAGGGAGGCAAAGCCGCAGGAGAGCAAACGCTGGAGGGTCCATGGTGAGTCCCAGGGAAGCAGTGTCCATTGGGGCCGGGCACTTGGGGTAGCCATGTGTGTGCATGGGAAGCTCTTTTCACATGATTCATGCTCCTACCTTGTGAACCCAAATCAAGTAGAGGGCTCAGCTGGCGTTGGGTAAGAGCATATTCAGGGAGCCTCTTCCAGCGCACAGCTTTTCTGGGCTGGGGTGAGTGTGGGTATGCAGGGACATGAACACCATGGAGCCACTGCTTTTGCAGTGGTGAGGGCAGCAATGCTACCCCAGCGGAGGAGGCACCGCTGTGAGGAGGCGTGTGAATCAGGTTCTGCCTCCCACAGAGGAGGATGAGGTGAGCAAAAGGGCAGAGATGGTGTCTCCTTGCTGAGCCTGCTGCTCTTCAAGGACAAGGTGACGGGGTGGGTGCTGGCAATAGGTGTGGAACTCATCTCTCCCTTCCATCCTCCCAGGGAGGAGCTGCAGGGCTCAGAGGGCTCACAGAGGGTCTGGTGGGGGATGCCAGCTCTTTTGCAAACGGTGCTTGCGCAGGAAGAAAGGCAATGTGTAGGTGCGTGCCTGCCTGTGCCCACACCTCTCGGCTCTCCCCTCCAGGCCATGCGGATCCTTGCCCTGCTCCTGCTTATCCTCCCGGCTCTGCTGCCCACAGCCGGCACTACCGACCCAGGCCAGCCCTGCCCGTCGGAGATGAACAAGGTCAAGGACCTCCTGGAGGTGAACTGCACGGGGCAGGGTCTCAGTGCGGTGCCCCCAGACCTGCCTGCAGACACGGGCATCCTGCTGCTCAATGCCAACCGCCTGGCGTCCCTCTCCACTGCTGCCTTCCTGCCCCTCACCCAGCTGCAGGACCTCGACCTGGCTGACAACGGGCTGGCAGCTCTGGATACCGGGCTCCCACTGCCATCCCTGAGGGAGCTGATCCTCTCCCGCAACATGCTGGGAGCCCTGCCTGCCCTGCAGGGCCTGCCCGCACTCACCCACCTGGCCGTGGCCCACAACAGCCTGGCAACGCTGGCCCCAGGGGCTTTCCGCGCTGTGACACGGCTGCAGGACCTGGACCTGCGAGGGAACCGTCTACAGACACTGCCCCAGGAGGCCTTTGCAGGGCTGAGGGCACTCAAGTACTTGGACCTCTCGGACAACCTCCTGGAGGAGCTCCCCAGGGAGCTGCTGCAGGATCTGCAAGAGCTGGAGACCCTCTGGCTCTCAGGGAACCGCCTGCAGACCCTGCCCACCAACTTTTTCCCTGAGGGGCACCTCTTCGCATACGTCTTCCTCACTGAGAACCCCTGGCATTGTGACTGCAACCTGCGCTACCTGCGGGCCTGGATCTGGCAGAACGATGGCAGTGTTTATCAGCCAGAGCGAGGCCTGGAGAAGACAAAGGTGGAGGTCGCCCCTGAGAAGGTGCTGTGCCACAGTCCCCCTGAGCATTGGCGGAAGCCCATCATCCACTTCAAGCCCAACTGCGGCAACGTGGGGGATGCGGAAGAGGAGGAAGAGGATGAATACTATGATGAGGAAGAAACGATGGAGAAAGCTACCATGATCGCCTTCTCCCCCCCACATCCATCCATCCCCAAAGAGCACACTACCATGCCCCGTGCTGTTACCTGGCCTCCCCTTGCTACCACAAGACCGCCCCTCAACACCCCTTGTAGCTCCACCCTCACCC